TCTTTGCTTAGGCTGCTACCCCCGCGACCCGACCTCGGATAAGCGGATGAAGATGGATGGATGGAGGTTTGCACACATCTCAGTAGGGATTTTGGCCCACTTCTCTTTACAGAAACTCTGTAAATCCTTTAGGTTTCTTTGCCATTCCATGACCTTAATGACTTTGTTTTTGAACTCCTTTCTTGCCTTGGTGGTATATTTTGGGTCATTGTCATGCTTCAAGACCGATTAATGACCCATCTTCAGTGTTCAGGCTGGGAGAATGAGGTTCTCATCCATGATTTTTCAGTACATGGCCCAGCCAACTGGCTTCTCAATGCAGTGAAGTAGTTCTGTGCTCTTAACACAAAGCAGTCCTAAAGCATAATGTTTCCACCTCCGTGCTTGACTTTGGGGATGGTGTTCTTTGGGTTACAATCAGCATTTCTCTTTCAACTCCACGGATCGAGTTGATGCCAGAGAGCTCAATTATGTTTTCATCTGACTGCAGCACATCCTCCCAAGCCTTCTCTGAATCATTTAGATGTTCACTGACAAACTTAAGGCAGACCTGTACACATGCTTCCTTGATCAGGAGCACACAGTCAGTGTTGCAAGATTTCAATAGCGTATTACAAATGGAGCTACAGACCAAGAGTAATTTAAAGTTGATTTATGTTTTTTTCCATTTTCAAATAATCACACCAACAGTTGTCACCTTCTCACATGCTGTAGGTCTTGTAGCCCATTCCAGCCTTATACAGGCCTTGTCCCTGATGTTTTTTTGAGCCGCTCTTTGGTCTTGGTGGAGAGGTTGGCATGGAAGAAATTGATTCTGTCGAGTTAAGAAGCGAGTTAAGATCAGGAGAATCTGTGATTGATTGGTTGTAATTCATGTGCTACATGGCCACACAGCCAGTCTGGAGCCAGAATTCTGTCTGGGTTGTAGGGGATCAAACATATCTAATTCAGTGACATGCTCAATCAATTTGTAACTTTGATGTAATGTGTTTTTTCTAGCTTTTTGTTGATATTCTGTTTTGATCTATTAAAATGAAACTACCATACAAATTATGTCATTCCTTTGTAGGTGAGCAAACGTACAAATTCATCAGAGGATTACATAAATACTCACTGTCACTGTACATAAAGGTAAATAAACATGGGCTATAAGCACCAGAATCCAGCAAGCTGAGTCAGGCTGATGCCACTACAACAGGATTGTGGGTGTGTAGAGCTGATGGCAGCTGGATGGGAAGGGCTCCTGTTATAGTCACTGCTACAACGCAGAAAGAGCAACCTTTTGTTGCTGTAGAGAGGAGATATAGACCATACTACAGCTGTTTAGAACACACATCTGTCACAGAAACTAGGGGCAGGCGCCAGTGCATCATGCGGGTATCTGAAAGTTGTCCTTATATATATATTGGCTTACATTGTTACTGACACACTAAGTCTGGGGTGACAAACCCATATTATTTTATAGGCACCATGCAGCTCAGGTGTGCTGGATGAATAAAATCACTGCAAACCATAATAAAAGGTTTAATTTTATTTTGCTATTAGCAGATAAT